TTTATACCATATGTTATTATATCTATGGGATCTTTCCAGCTCATTCCTTGAATGTTCAATTCCAACAATTTTCTCATCTACTGGAACCTTCAATTCAACTTTTTTCTCCTGTCCCTCACCCTTTTGATGTCTTCTCTCTGCCCTTCTTAACATGCTGAAATATCATTGCTAAAAATATAACCATTCCCTCATATGCTACTTGAACTTGCTTCACTTTCTTGACAAAACCACAGCCTTGGTTAACTGTAACTCCTCATCTGCTCCCAACTGTAAAATGGAATATGACAAGAAAACAAAACAGAACACTGAGTATACTCACTTTATGACCAGGAGCACAAGTAGATACTAACAGTCATCTGACAATTTTCCTTACTCTCCTGTTCTCCTGGAAGACTATTTCATATCTTCTTCCCCAGCTCCAAATACCACCCCCTCCATCCCTACTCAGGCAAATGACTTTGCTTCATACTTCACTGAGACTATTAAAGCAATCAGAAGAGAACCTTTAAGGTCCCCATCACCACATTCACTCAGCATTTGCAAGTGCATACTCAAATTAACCATGCAAATGCTAGCTAGAATCAATCCCTTCACTTGTGCAAGTAATCCCACCTTTCTTGCCTTTAAGCATTTTTCCCAACTGTTCTTCCTTTCATCTATATTACCAGTTTTTTACACCATTGGAGCATGTTTAACAGCCTAGAAACATGCTAATGTTTCTCCTATCTTAAAAGAAAAACAAAAGACAATCTCTTCACTCTATTTCTCTTGTCACCTACTAACTCCCAAATCTATGTCTTTGGTCACCTTTGGAGCAAAACTTTGTGAAAGAATAACCAATACTCTCCTGTGTCCAACCCCTCTCCTCCTTTTCCCCATTTACACCTCTGAAATGCTTTTGTCAAAATTACCAATAGCCACCATGTTGCTAAATCTAATGGTCAGCTCTCAGACCTTATCTCATGTGACCAAGCAGCAGCATAGACAGCATTGTCATGCCCTCCTTCTACTCTACTTTATTCACTTCACTTCCAGGTCACCACACACTATTGGTTTCCTTCCTTCCTTACCAAGTGGTCATTCGTTCTCCTCTGAGGGTCTTTTCTTCTCTTCAACCTCTTCATGTTATAGTGCCCCAGAGTGCAGACATTGGTCTGCTTCTTCTTATCCCAGCCATCTCATATGGCTTTAAAAACCATCCAGGCCAGGCCCAGTGACTCAGCCTATAATCCCAGCACTTTGGGAGGCTCAGACGAGTGGATTGCCTGAGCCTGTGGACTCGAGACTAGCCTGGGCAACTTGGCGAGACCTCGTCTCTATAATAAATAAAAAATTTAGCTGGACTTGGTGGCTCAGCCTGTAATCCTGTGCTTTTGGGAGGCTGAGGTGAGTGGACTGCCTGAGCCCGCGGGTTCGAGACCCGCCTGGGCAGCGAGACCTCATCTTTACAATAAATCAAAAAATCAGCTGGGCGTGGTAGCGCATGCCTGTAATTCCGGCTACTCGGAAGGCTGAGGTGGAAGGATCGCCGGAGCCCAGCAGGTCGAGGCTGCGGTGGCCGGGAGCGGCCACTGCACTCCAGTCTGGGCGACAGAGTGAGACTCCAACTCAAAAAAAAAAAAAAAAGAAAATTAGCCGGGCGTGGTAGTGCACGCCTGTAGTTCCAGCTACTTGGAAGGCTGAGGAGGAGCCCAGCAGGTTGACGCTGGGGTGGTTGTGAGAGTGCCACTGCACTACAGCCTGGGTGACAGAGTGAGACTCCAACTCAAAAAAAAAAAAAAATCCATATGCCAAAGATATATTAAATTATAGGTCTAGTTCTATGCCTCTTCAGCTCAAGGTGAGTATATACAAATGCTTAATTAATATTTATTTTCTCTCCAACTCAGCAGGCACACAACTGAACTCTTGAATTTTCTACCCAAAAGTTGTTTCTCTTATAGTATTGTCTCATCCGATGAAAACTATATTCTTCTAGTTGCTCAGGCTAAAGACCTTGGAGTCATCTTGCAGCTGCTCTCAAATACCAGACATACAATCTATTAGCAATTGTATAGGATCTAACTTCATCTACTTATCACTATATCCACTGCCAACACCTTGTTGGAGACATCTTTCACCTGGGTTACTGCAGTAGCCTCTTCCATGCATCAACCCTTGATTCCCTACTCTCTATCCACAATATACCAGCAGGAGTGTTTCTTTTTATATCTAAGTCAGATCAGATAACTTCTCGGTCAAAACTCTATAATAGACCTCCTTTCTTTCAGAGAAAAAGCCACAGGTCCTATATGACCCAACTCTTTCCACCAATCTCTCCCTTGCTCTCCTTTCTAGATATACTTTCCTCCCCATTGTTCCTCCAAATAACCAGGCACATTCTTGAAACCTTTGACCTAGCTTTTCTTGCTGGAACACTCTTTTTCTAGACCAGGTGCTCTCAAAATCCAATTCCCAAGCCAACAGCATCAGCAGCCACTGGGAAATTTGTGGGAATGCAAATTCTCCCAGCAACTTGCATTTTAAGAAGATCTATAGGTGATGCTGCTGCACACATTGAGAACCACTGCCCTATATATTCACTTGGGCAATTCTCTCACTTTCATCAAGTCTCTGCTCAGATGTCACTTTCTGAATGAAGCCTACTCTGACCACCCTATTTAAAATTGCACCCTTGACTCCTTCCCTTTCTGTACACTACCCTTTTTCCATTGCCCATATCTTCTAAAATAGTAGAAAATTTACATTTTTATCATACAGTTTGTCTCACCCCACTAGACTATAAGTCCCAGGAGGATAATAATCTTTTATATCTTATTCACTGGTGTATACAAGTGTCTCAAACAGAATCCGACATAGTGTAGCTTCTCAGTAAATATCTACTGAATTTATTGAGTGAATGGCTATGTGGAATTTAACTGGTATGGCCAATGAGGACAACTATACAAACAGTCAGTAGGTAGGGAGTCCTCTGACAGGTGGGGGCTGTGGACCTGTGTATATAATTAACAAGTATGCCACTTCATTTCATAATAAAGGGTTCAGAGAGAAAATATGTATATATGTTGACACTACTGGTACTAGACTCATTTTATGAAACACAGGAACAACCCAGGCATCCTGACCATTGTCTGTCTTCCACTATTATTAGGAAGGTGGGAGAATTCAGGCTGCTGTCCTATGCTTTCAGACTTAGAAGTACAGTTGTGCTACTGTTTCCTAACTTGGGTTACCACCCTGATGGTGGTAGAAAAGTGCACTCATGACAGTCCCACCCCTTTCTAAGTAACAACTAGAGCTCCTTCACAGAACTCAAGGATGAGGTAGCTGTATCTGTGGTTCTTTTTTTTTATTAATCAGTATTTTTTATTATGGTTTTGTGGGGGTACAGTTAAGGGTTAGGTGTACAATTACGTTTCATTCAGGCACCCTGTTGATAAGAGGTGTTTTCCCATCCCCAGACAGATATTTGCTACTGTTAATCCCATCCCCCTCCCCCAGTATCTGTGGTTCTTCCCACCACCCTGGGCTTGCTGCAAATGAGAGGGCTGGAGTAGCCTCTTGGCTTTCTATCTATGAGTTTAAAAGTGTTTCAAACAAAAGCAAGATAACTTTTAAAAGGAAAAAAAAGTTATTAGAGTAAACAGTCTTTTTTTTAAGTCCCTGCTGTGTACTGATCTCAGCACTAAGTGCTATTGTTTAGCATTCACAATTAGTCCCAAAGTCAGTGGCTGCATCCTGCTGCCATCAAAACCATGGTAATACAAGTATATGTGCAACAGAACACAGACGCCTCTGCTAAATGGTAATTTCTGTTACCAGTTCCAAAAAAGGTGTACAGTTTTGATGCTCCCTTATTCATAGGAATAATGCCAACAAACATAGGACTAAATAAATCAAATAAATTTGCTGCCATTTTTACAAATTCAACACAATGTGTTTATTTGTGAATATCTAATGTTGGTCCTTTTATTGCCTTTAAAATGGTCTCAATATTTGTCTTTAAACTGACTAACATAAATAAAACCATGTCTGTAAAGGATAAAAAAAAGAGAAACTCTAATTCTTGCCATATAAATGATGGTTACATTAATATTCTATACTTTTGGCTCTGAACCATCTAATAGCTTTATTTTAGCACAACAATAAAAACTATTAAGGGAAATGAGGAAATAGCTTGGGGATTATTGCTCTTAGCATTTAATAGTGTATTGGAGTCTTGATGCTTGCTTGCATTTGCTTGGAATAAGTATCTAAGGGAAAATTAAGTTCTAAGCTGAGGCTACTATTTGAAATCCCAGAAAGGGCTCCTGGGAATAGTTTGGATTTTTGTGACAATAGATTTTCTGATGAAGTACAGCATTCCCTAATGAAAAAGACCTGGCACTGTTTCATATGATAAAATTTTACCAATGTGAGGCACATGATGATCAGTTTGGGAATGAGTGTTTTAATAAAAGAAACATGAAATCAACTGTACTTTGGCAGGACATACCCCAAACCATCATGAGAGCTGTCGTCCTGGCCCACAGATGATCCCCACCATGCTACAACTGTGCAAGTTCCCACTGACATCACTGACAAAACTGGCACAGAGACAAAGACATAATCCAAACACAGTCATGTTGGATTCTGCTTCGTTGGAGTCATATGAAAAACAAATCAACTTCCCCAGCCCCCAAAACCTACCATGGAATAGATCTGAGGCTCAGAGCTACTCAAGATGTACATGTCTAGACAAATGGATGAACAAAGGGCAAATATTTAAAAATAATGATGAGGACACACGTGATAAGTGTGAAAAAAGGTGACACAAAAAGTGGACTTTGAATTATTTAGGTTGAGATTGTCTAACATGTTAACTGAAACAATAGGTGCTAGTTCAGGAGGGGATAACGCTTGCTTTTACTACATTTTATTTTTAAAAAATGTAATAAGTCTTCCTCTACTGAAAATATTGAAGTTTACCTATTCATTAATAAAAAAATAGTTTACATTACCCTCATAAATGCTTGATGCGTTCTACAGTTAGGCACTCTGCTTGATACTTGCATGTTTCCTGTAACCATGTCAGAACTTCCATTAGAAAAAAAATAAAATCTTGATGGAGTCTCTGCCTTTCTGTTCACATCCAAACTCATGTTATAAAGCAGAACTACAAAAATGTAGAGAATTATAATTAATATAATGTAGAGAATTATAATTAATATAATTATAATTAATATAATTTCTTTTATTATTTTTGAAGTGATAATATTTAAAATATATAGACTACTGAATATAGCATAAATTCTACTCATTAAACAACTTTTGAAGACTAATCTGAACTATGAGAGAAAAATCATTACAAATATAAATTTCAAAAATCATTTTTATAAATTAAAAAAGGATAACAAACGAATCTTTAGATTTCTATTAACAACATTAGCATCTTTAGTTATTTGTTTAACCCTCCTATATTGAAGTTTCAAAACAACAATATCAAAATTGTTACTAATAATAAAAGTCTTGAGTAAAGTTTCCTACTTTTTTTTTGGAGGCATTTTTGTCCTTAGAACATCTGACTAAGATGAGACAAAGCACTGTGCTCAGGGGTCAATTGGGATAATTCTGTCTTGCATGGCTACATGAGTAATTTTATATATGGTTAGGTTCATTTATTCTTGTTTGTTTCTGATTTGAGGGCTTGCTGCCTTTATTTAAAACTTTTTCAATATATAAAAACACATAGTTAAATCATATATATATATTTTTTTTCCAGTCCTATACCCTGATTATTCATCCCTCTTCTGTTTTTTATTGACTTTTAGATTGATCTTCTAGAGTTAATTTGTGGAAAAACAAAAACCAAAACAAAACCTCTCAATAAATATTCTAGCAGTTTGGCAGGGTTTACTAAAATCTGACATAGTAAATATTCACCAGCTAAAGAAGATCTTCAAATAAGAAAAAATAAAGGAAGGAAAATTTTAAAAGCAAGCAAAAAAAAAAAAATCCAATTCAGGTCTTACCATTAAAGTAAGAACCATTTCCTGAATTTAAATGGGTTTTCACAAACAAGCTAAATTGGAAAGTCTGCTGAGATGTCACTCATTATATAGGAGCAATAACTCATAAGTGAGAGTTTAAAGAATTTATACATTTCTAAAGTATCGATTTATATTTTAGAAGTAACTTACACTTCTGAAAGAATTTATCTACTTATTTCAAGGAAACAAGTATAAAACCTATATTACTCTTACGCTTTTCAAATAAATCTTTCATTCATCCTTTTATTTGGAAAACAATAAAGTCAAAACTAATTGACTCAAAATTATAATAACTGACATTCAATACATAAGAGAGAAAGCTGCAATTGAAATAGCCATCTACAAAATCATTGCCCTGAGTTCAGAAAACAGTAAGTGAAAAAAGAGTGAATAGAAATCTATTCCCGGTAAAAGCCAAAAATGTCCTAGTTTCATTAAACGTTTGCCACGTGAATTATTTCTTAAAGAGTCATTTATGACAATTATAAAGCATGTTTCTCTAGCAATGCTATAATTATTTATGAGTTTCATATACTTGTCTTCAATCATTTAAAAAAATATCTGGTCACAATGGAATTTTAGTACAGTGAACACTGGTTTTACATAAAGGGAAAAAGATCTGCATCTATCCAACATGTATCTTTCAGAGAGCTCATCATTTGTCTGCATTAATGTGCAATTCACTCTGGGGTCAGACTCTCAACTGCCCCTTCTCTAATAGAAGACTTATGACATATGAAGACTTACTCATCCTCTTATTATTTCAGCTCTGACCAGGACTTTTCCAGAGCACTATTAAAAATGAGCCTGATCTAAAGTAGAGCTACCAGGCTCAGTCTGTACATCTCATTACAAGCTAATTCAGACTGAAACCTCTATTACATATCCATGCCATGATTTAGTAAGTACTTACTGCCCTTCATGATGTCTAGATCATCGCAGCCTGCAGGACCAAGTGTACAATCAACTCTTGGTAGGTCTTGCGGGAGGATCATCAACAATGTGAATTTGTAAAGTTCAAATAATAAACCCAGGTATGCTTTTCTCCTACCATGGGCTAGTTTTATGAGTAGTTGTTCTAATATTAGCTTAATTATAACATAATTAGGAACAGTAATCTGCTAGAAAAAATTGTTATGCTTATAAAGTCACATGCATGTGATTTGGGATTAATCATCACAATGTTGGATGAACCATACTAATGCTACTTTCTCCAGAGCAGATAATTGAGAGTTGCCTGTATAGAGGGAAAGGGCATGGTTCTCAGGAGTGCACAGTAACAGTGAATTATTAAGAAATGTGTCTTATTTATATAAATTAGACTCAGGTCTAGACTCCAGATAAGCTTATTCAATTATTGAAACATGATAGAATAATGAAAATAATCTTAGTCCTCTCAAGCCTTCTAGTTTAAATTTGCTCCAGGTTTTAAAGAGTTCAATAGAAAATTGGAGCTGAGGTGATGTTCTCTCTATTCTGAAGAGATTTCACAGATTAGATTTAGTTGGTTTACTCTACAGTTATACAGCAAATGATACTCTTTCCTTTGCTTTTTGTCATAATCTCTAGACAACTACAGCCTTCCGATGTGTTCCACTCATTGGTTACAACTTGAGAATCCAGAAGACGGGGAAGAAAAGTATATCACTGTTGGCTGCTTTCTCCTGTTCTAAAGAAGACCTACATGATGAAAACCAGTGAGGGCTCAAAATAGGACCAAGAAATTATAAAGAGTGAACTGCACAGTGTCAGTCATTAATTCTGTAGGACACACTTACCAATATAACCTGGAACTTCTTTGCCCTTATATGAGAAACAAAGCGTTAGGTCCATGCACACAGAAGGCAATCCGTTTTCAACACAGTCATATTTTGTTCTATTTACTGACTCAGGGTGGCTTAAAGAAGCATCAACAATCACCACAGGCCTTGTCCTAAGAAGGAAATAAAAATAACAATATTAATTGCAGACTTATTTTTCCTTAAGAAGATGTTTGGGTTTGTTTTTCAGTTTGCATTGACCATGTAATTTCACAGGTCTTTCTTATTAATAATAGTATGTGCATATATACTGAATTATATATATGTGCATCGAGCAAAATAAATTTTCATTTAAATATCTAAAATCATTTACTTTGATGATTTGTTTAAGTATATCTATGTAAGGTGGGAAAAATGTCCTAAAGTTCAATAATTAAACTTCAGAACACCAGAAAAAACAGTATGAGGTCACCACCATTGCTGATTTTAAACACTACCTCCCATCATTTACAATTAAACCAAATTGTCATTAAGCAGTGAAATATATCAAACTTACCTTAGCAATACAGCAGAATTAGAGTGAAAAGCACCAACTACTACATCTGGATGATAAAAATACAGCACAGATTAATGATCATCATTTGTCAAAGAGAATTACCTCGCAGTCTTATAAATACTTAACTACATATCACCTTTTGACTATATCAAAACATTATTTACAGAAAATTAATTAGAAAAGATATGCTACCATCTTAAGATACATTCCACATTTGTTTGAATCTATTTATTTACAATAACATTCATCCCTTCATAATATAACATATACTTTATGATATATACTTATGGTATACAGATAGGCTTACTAAGACAAAATTCAATCTTTGGATTAGAAACATTTACCCAGAAGTTTCCCTTAGAAATAATAATAATTATTACAGTTCTTTCTTTTCACCATTGCATGTTTGATTGATTTTTATAGGTGACTTTTATTTTTTCAAGGACAAAAATTATAACATTCAGTAACTAACAGTATAAAGCTGAGGAATTACTTGATCATTTTTTATCTATCCTTATACTCAAAAGAACTTTAAAAATGAAGGAAAAAATCATCAGTAAATTAAAGTCTTCCATACCAGTTTTATGTACTTCAAAATAAAGTAGCATCTATAATAAAGCATCTTCTAATTTATAAAATATGATACTTTTTTCCTCACCTACATATCCATTATTATCTGCATCAATTTGTCCTGATATAGACTGCCCAAACATACGTAATGATTGACTGATTTGAAGTCCTTCAATTCTCTGAAAAATAGTAAGTTGAGTAAGAAGCAGTTTTTGAACACCAAATATCCCAGAGAAGCAATGATTTCACTCAATCATAAGACTTCTCAAGCATGCCCTAGCACGTTTACTAACAAAGTTATTCAAATACTATTTATTAGTAAAATACTAAGAGAGGCAACGTTTTCTAGTTTGAATTGGGCAGGTGATATCTATTTTGTGTCTTTTTTTTTTTTTTACTTTCTTTACTTTGTGAGCAAAGTGAAAATTAAGTAGTACAGATTTTCTAAAACTGTCCTGATTTCCTTTCCTCAAGTCTTTTTTAGAGACTAGGACTCGCTATGTTGCCCACACTGGCCTTCAACTCCTGAGCTCAAAGGATCCTTCTACCTCAGGTGGGACTACAGGCCCATGCCACTATGCCCAGCCTCCTCAAGTCTTTTTTCAGGCTCTGTATTTACTTCCTTGACAAACATGAATAACTAAATAAGTAATTCAAAAAATAAGATGTCTACAATCACTTAGCAAAGCCTACCATTCAGGCTTAAGATGAAAGCCAATTTTTTTAACAAGAATAACTCAAGTTGGATATAAGCTTCCTATGCCATGTATTTAATTTCATGTTCAGATACTGATTTATAAATATTAAGCTGCTATTCCAAAACTAAGAAAATCAGTACTTTTTTTTCCTACATAAGTATATATTTTTCAGATATAGAGAGGACAATTTGCCCAATTTTACCTAATCAAAAACAACAGTACTAGTTAATGTTTCTATAAAAATATCATTGGAAAAACCTTTCTTCTCTGCATTTGAATCTAGTTTTTTTCTATGCACTGAAATGTTTTGATTTTTCAGCATATAAAAGTGAAGTCAGAGTTAAATCATGGACCTTTATTAAAGAGCTATCATCTTACTACTCTACACTAAACAGAGTATCATATGTTGTGTTCGATCTACTTGTGCAATCACGAAACACAGGACTTTAGCCATAAGACAAGACATAGTTAATCAAATCCAAATGGGCATATCTAGAATAGTATGGATATTACCCCAGAACACATTTTTGATGAGCTAGAAAGAGAAATCTTTAATAAGCAAGCTAGAGTGGAAATGAACTAGAATTCTTATTATTTTAAAAATTGTTTAAAGAGTTTCAAATAAGACCATTTACCATTGTTAGAAAAGGGTGAAATAAAATGTTATGTATTGGAAAGAACAAATGAATATAAATAAGTCCACATAAGCACTGAAAATGTAAGGATGCTTTTATTACCAATGCTTCTTTTGGAAACCGAACAGTATGTTACCTGTGAGAAAGTTGATGAGATCCCATCTACTCGGCCATTGTAAATATAAATAGCACCTCGTAAGTCATCTTCTTGTGGAGCTCCAATAGCAACATCTGCTTAGGAATTTAAATAGTAGAAAAACAGCAAATTATCGATATAAAGAATGCAACTGCAACTTTGGAAACTAACTTTTATCATGCTTAATGCATATCTCATAAGAAAACTCTCTTTTATTTAAAAAAACTAACACTTTTGTCAGAAAGAAAAAATATCTAATACTATCATAATAATGTACAGGACTGCACAGAATAGTTTGTGCATGGGAGAAAGCAGAGTGGACGGTCTGAAAGCTACGTTAGCAGAATGGTTGGGGGGTGGGTTTTGCAGCCAGACCACTGGAGTCTGACTCCTGTTCTGCCACTGTACACAGCTATACTATGCTGAACCCATTTCTTAATCTGTCTGTGACTCGGTAACTTCACCTATAGAATGGGATTAAAATAAAAACTCATAAAAGGACCTATCTCACGTGGTATTTAGAGCAGCACCCGGCATTAGGTTATTATAATCTATAAATATAATCACAAGACTTTTAAACTTAAACTTATTTCCTTTAAATTATTATTCCAATCAAGGTGATTAAAGTATCTGTTAGGGATATTTGTGCAAACACACACATACATTTCAGAAACTGATTTGTTCTGTAAAATATGATTACATCACCTTTATCAATTTATCAAGAATCATGTCAGATTATGACACCAAAAGAAAAAAAAAGATTTGATCAACTGATATAAGAATACCTGCATATAAACAGAAAATATGAATGACATAGATGCTTCAGTGCTATGGATGTGGAACACAAAGGAGAAAAATAATTCTACAGTTGTAAGAGTACTTCATTATCTTACTAAGTATTATCTATTTATTTTGGTATATTTATTTATTTGTATATATTTCTTTGTATGCCAATTTTTTTACTTTAACAGAAACCTAAAGTACAGATAGTTTGTTTTCATGTTATAACTTATCACTATCAAATCTAAAACCTTTTAAACAACTCTAGTGATAAGTTTTGTTTGTTTGTTTTTGTTTTCAGTCAGATTCTCACTCTGTCACCCAGAATGGAGTGCAGTGGCACACTCATGGTCACTCCAACGTCAACCTACTGGGCTCAGGAGATCCTTCTGCCTCAGCCTTCCAAGTAGCCAGAACAACAGGTGCGCACTACCACGCCCAGCTAATTTTTTTCATTTACTGTAGAGACAGCGTCTTGCCGAGTTGCCCAGACTGGTCTTGAATCCCTGGGCTCAAGCAATCCTCTTGCCTTGCCTCCCAAAGTGCTGGGATAGTGGTAAGTTTTGACGGCTATTCCAATGAAAACAAAAATATCTCTGATATATAACTCTATGCTAAATGCTGTGCAATTTTAAAAATGCAAAAGCATGTCCATTATGTTAGTCAGTCTGTCTGTGTATCTATTTTCCTACCTATTCTACAACTTTCTTATGATTTTGATGAGAGTTTTATACTAGACTTTTAGAAATTGGCTTGCTTTACTTTTGTAAAGACATGGAAAATATAGTGTAATTTTTCCTTTAGAAGAATAAAAAAATGATATGCCAAATGCCAAGACAATTTGGGTCTGCTATGAAAAACACCACACAGTTTTTGAAAAATAAAAGGACACTAAGTATGATTTGCATTTAATACTGGAGCTGGAGGTTAAAAAAAAAAGCAGGTGAGTTTTCATTTTCTCTCTACACAGTTCTATACCCCCAGCCATGAACACAAAGTATCTCCATCCATCTACTCCCAAAAAATAAGATGGAAGATGGGCAAAGGAATAAAGAAAAACATAAAGAAAAATAGCATGTAGATGCCTTGCTGTCTCACCCAGGAAGACTTGGTGGAATGGAATTAAAGACCTAAGCAGAGAGCTAGGACAAACTGACCCTACTTCCAAAACAGCAATGGTCTTGCTAATATCTAAAAATGTAGAAAATACCTAATCATTGGCAAAATAGAAGATAAAATTAAAAGGACCAAGTAGAAAAAAATATATAGTATAGCAAACATTCACTGAAGTGTTACTGTAGCTACTAAATATAAATATGTTGTGAATTATAAATGAGCATATGATTAAAACTAAAAAAGCACAAAATATGCAGACATATACAAATAATCATTTGAATAATACATCTCCCAGAGATAAAGATACTACATTTAGGAGTGGAGTGGGCTCTAAGAAAAGCAAGTGCTCGCTGAATTCTGCTTCTCATATACAAACGGAAAGACTGCACTGTCTCCTGAAGGTCCCCTCTGACGTCCTTTCCCGAAGTTTCATGGAAAGAACACTTTCTGCCTGTCCTTCACATCACTGGAAACTTGCCTGGGATTTTCCCAGGCCCTGGAGTCATTCTGATCAGGGAACTTGCCTATTGTCCATGACAGTTTTACAACTCTATCCAATTACAACAATTCAGGTTGTTTATTGACATTTTGATGCCACAAAAATCATTTCTCAGACACATGCACAGATGTATCATTGCACATTAGTGAAGATAGTGAGTGGTCTTCCTTGAGAGTATCAACTAAAAACAAGATGTAGAGGAATCCTAAGTAAACAAAGTATTTTACTAAACCTTGCTTTTAAAAAAAGGAAGTGTATTATCTCATATAATCCATATGAAATGTCAAGGTGTTCTATCCATAGATTTTTATTAGGTAGGATCCTCAAATTTGTCACTAAATAAGGCTTATCTTCTCATGTCTTATTCTTATTTTTGATTTGATAACAAAATATTTAAAAAGTGGTGCACTATTTCCTTCATTTTCATTTATTATGGCACATACCCTTTTCCAAGTATGGTACATCTGATCCAAAATAAATGCCCAATAAATATAACATAATTGCTATTACTTGTGAAATCTAACATCTAGCATAATAAAATTCCACATAGGTTTATTATAAAATGTTATATGTAATCATAATATCCAAAAAATAATCTACATATATATTTTCTTTACTTTCATTGTTTTAAACAGTAAAAAAATCCAGAAATGATAAAGTTTGTATACTAAATTACACTATTTTAGATTTATGAAGTTTCATTGAAAGCATATATTCAATAGTTAACTTTTCTTGTAGAATAATGTATTTTATAAACTATAACAGATTGAAGCATTTAGGTATAAGAAGAAATTAAGGAGGTGAGAATTGATAGCACTCAATTTATTTTTAGTATCCAAAAAAAGGTTAGTCTAACATTACTATATACTAATTGACAATGACCTTATCAAGAAGACACAATTATGATTTCTGAAAATGAATTATCAAATACTTATGTGATGAACTCTAAGAAACTGCACACTTTTCTCAAACCTGTTCATCATTTTATGCACAGTTTTAACAGACTCAGTTACCTCACAGAACTAGATAGATAAAGCAAATTTTAAGAAGGAATGCTAGTAGATATAGGCATCAACAGCATTGATATCCAGGGCAGTATACACAGTTAGGACAGTGCTATCTATTCAATTGGTGAATAACTTTCATATCAGTGGGTAAATGGCCACTGTCCCCAAGTTTCTCAGTTGCTCACTCACCCCTGCTCAGGACTCTCTTCTGAAATCCCCCAAATCCTCCCACATATGGCTATTGGGAATGCCTGGCACAGCAAGAGGCTTCCAGAACCCTGCTCCGGTTCTGCAGCCAGCCTCTGTTGGGTTTGGTCAGTGTCTTTACTGTTCTGATAGTTACATATCAGAGTCCATTGAGTCTATGATACACCCCCCCCATATTTTATTATTGCTGAAATCAGGATTCCCCTTAAAATAGAAAAACAGTGGGTGACACAGTTTAACGAGCAGCAGTTTTTTAGGGGCACATAATAACGCAACTTCTAATCAATAGTGCCTTCGAATCAGTAAAATAAAGTTAGTTGAATATCATACTTTATTAACAATGGTATGATCAATAGCTGACAATTGAGAAGTCAGATGTAACAATAAAAAGGAAAAAAAAACAACTTAGCATACCATTTTGGTTCCATTTTATACAGAAAGGCAAACAACCCAAAACTTTTTCATCAGATTCTCTTCCATATGCCACTTTAAAAGCGGAAATCAAGTACCAAATTAGATACTTTTAATTACCTTCAAAGCCATCATTGTCAATGTCACCAAGATTAACTATAGATTCCCCAAATCTTGCAGCGTATTTGTCACTTCCAATGAGTTTTGTTTCCATTTCATTCATTACTGCTCCCTAGATAGAAAGAGAGAAAAGGTGTCATTATAACACTCCCTGACAACTTTACACATGATTGACTGCTATAATTGGATATGGATTTTTTTTCTAATGCATCAAACAAGTTGGACAAACTACAAACTGAGCTTTAGTACACACATCTCAGTTCAAGTCAATAAATATTTATTAAATCTGTCAACACATAAATAGTATGATTAGAGCTCAGAGGACATAAAAAATTGTCAAACTCATGATCCCTAGGCTTTGAAAATCCAATAAATCATTTTGATAATTCAATCTGGCAAATATTTATTGAGCTTTTACTAACGACAATGCACTGTGCAAAGAGTGAAAGGGTAAAAGGGGGTGAGGCAGTGTGTATATAAAACACACTCCCTTTCCTCAAGAAGCCCATGGCTACACAGAGGGCTTTGCACACGCATATAAGTGACTTAGAGGTACAAACTGCTTTACAATACCAGGAAGAAAAATAAGAATATCTAATTGTGATAACAGGAGAGATTTCATAAAGGAAATGGCACATAGAAAGAAAACTATCAGCAAAACACAGATCCCAAAGAATTTGGTTATAATGAATGACATGTATAAAGAATGAGACAAAAATAGACTTCAGTCTTATGGTGTAGCATTTTATCTATCTAGTTCCGTGAGGAAAATTTACTGTTAATTTCCTGAACAACAGGAAACCACTGAAGGTTTCTGTGTTGAGTGGCATAACTGAAGCTGGTCTTTGGAACCTTGTCACAGCAGCAATGAAGCATGGATCAGTCAATTGATATCTAGGAAGTGGGAAGATGAGTTAATACAGTAAGACATTCAATAATGTTACAACAGTGAGTTGTTGCAATAACAGCTACCAATTCTCTTTAAAAACGTTGATAATGTCAGTCTCTTGTATTAAAGAAAAAAAAATCCATGCATTGCTCATCATAGATTTTTCCTCGTCTCAAACAAGGCTAATCATTATTCTATAAACACACAAGTGTTCTTCCCTTGTTAAGTGTCCTTCATCTTTTATTTTCCAGTTGAGAAATTCCTATTTTTGTCCTCTTCAAATATTATTTCCTCTGTGAAACCTTCTTGAACCAAAGGGGAATCACTTATTTTACTTTGTGTGTACATATAATATAATGTGCCATTTACCAAGTGGTATTCAGTTGTTTACTCCCATGTTTGGTGTCTTCTCTAAACTCTGAAGTCCTGGAAGTCAGGACTAAGGTTATTCTCTGTTCTTTTCATAGTCCTTGTTACATTTCAGATACTCACTAATATCAATTATAATTTTATTTTAAATAAACTAAGATAACAGGAAATCATCTTTACAGATGTACTCTCTGACATCAAAGCAGTGAATGGTTGTATTAAAGGAATAAAGGATAAAACAGCTTGACTCCTGGAAAAATGTCTAAATTAAAGAGAAGAAAGAGGCTCTAGGGAGGATAGACATGGTACAGACTAAAGACAATACAATCTTATTTAAATTTTGGGAGGAGAGTTTAAAGAGGAAGTGGTGATTACTCTTCTTCAAGTATTCTCTAGTCACAGAGTGTGGTGAACAAGAGTTTGCTAGGGACCCCTGAGGGCCGTTTTAGTAGCAGTAGGTGGAAGTCAGAGTTATTCAAGTGTCATTCTTTCTTGAGATCATTCAAAAACAATTTCAGAGCACCCACTTGTCCGGGACTCTTCCAAACCCTAAAGATATAGCAATAAGCAAGACAAACAATTCCTTTCCACATGGCATCCAGACTCCAGTGGAAGAACAGATGATAGTAAACCATATATATATAGTAAATATATAATGCCACTTAGCCATTAGTGCCATTTCAGGGAGCTGAGAAATAGAAGGGCAGGTGGGGGAAAAGAAAGGAAGACTAATCTATGCCAGAGAATTTAAAAGATGAAATCAATTATTAAATTAATCCCAGTATTCAACAGTGGAGCATCAGGTTAGGCATGAGTGCAGCAGCTTGCATCTGTTTTTCATGATGGAATTGTTTAAGATTTCAATGGGAAAAAAGATTTCTATATTGCTTTATTTTGCTACTCTTTAAGCTGTTCTCCAAAAAGTTTAGTGGTAATGAGAAAGATAATAGAAATTTGCAGCGTGAGGCTGTAGCAAGTACAAAGAAGACCATTTATAGGAAGGGAAATGAGAAATCTCTATGGAAGTTATGTCTGATATCACCATTAATAAGATTCTAATCATCACTGTGTAAATGATATGCCTTTACTATTAAAATTAAGTTTAAAATTAGTCTAGGAAATACCAAAGTATAAATGACTTCCTGGCTTTATATGTCAAACTTTGAGAATTCTCCAGCTTTACAAGACCAAAGTGTTTTCTCTCTTAAATTGTACAGAGTGTAGTCTGATGCTTAGTATAAGAATTTATTAAATGCTCTGAAATTATTGATTAGACATGGTTACAAACACTTTCTGGAAACAGATTTTACTTTGTTGAATTCTGACTAAAAAACGCTATGCCATAAGAAATGAACCAGTTTTCTTACAAGCCCACTTTTGCTTTCAAATCAAAACAACAGGCCAAGAAGACTCCTTTAAGACACTATCAATTTTTTTGTTTCTTTGTTTAAATGTCAAGAAGCTAATCTGGCAAGGTAAGACTAGCAGAACTCTTTAAACAGAAACATCAAGTGGTCAATTTTGACTCCAAAATATTACTCATAATTTAAAATTGAACAATAGTCAGTAATTACGTACTTATACAATGAATATAACCAATTTGAAATAAACTATATCAACTTTATATTTTTGTCGAGAATAATCTGTATAAAATATGAAAATTAGCATTTTCTCAAAGCACATCTTGTTTCTAATTGTTTTCCTAGAAATTGAACACATTCAATTCTTTATCTTATACCTCAAGTAATATTGTATAATATAGTAAATTATATAAAGACCTTAACTATATAACTATGAAGAAATCTACATTTTGGTTGGGCACAGTGGCTCATGACTGTAATCCCAGCACTTTGTGATACTGAGTTGAGAGGATTGCTTGAGGTCCGAAGTTTGAGACCAGCCTGGGTAATATAGCAAGATTCATCTCTAACAAAAAATAAAATAAAATAAAATAAAATAAATCAAGTGTGTTGGTGTATGTCTGTAGTATCGTCTATTCAGGAGGCTGAGGTGGGTGGATTGCCTGAGTCCAGGAGGTCGAGGCTGCAGTCAGCCATGAAAGTGCCACTGCATTCTAGCCAGGGTGACAGAGTGAGGATCACCAATACAAAAAAAAAAAAAAAGAAAGAAAGAAAGGAAAAGGAAAGAAATCTACATTTTGAAGAACATATAAAAATTATTCTTTCAAATTATACTTGTATCAAAATAAAACTAAAAAAAATTTCAATGATGAAAGTGAGCACATACAAGCTATGAACAGAGAAATTCCCTAGCAAATTATCCCATACGTCTGGAATACCACAATGAGAGAGTTGCCCATTCTCATCATGTTCCATTTGATTCTTAGAGCATCCATATAATTAGCAGAATTTTTACTTCTGTCAGTAAAACAAACCTAAGAATCCATGGCCCTCAGAACTCTGGAATCAGACCAATTTCTGTTTTGAACATATTTCCATAAATGCTTCCAGTGTGGGCACTTGGACATACCGAGCCAGAGTTGATGTACACGAACACTCTGCCTTCCTCCCTGATGGTGCTCTGCATGGGCGCTCCCACGAGGAGATCTGAGAAGCCATCTGCGTTGAGGTCCACAGCACAGACAGAAGCCCCAAAATATGAGCCAAGCTGTCCCAAAGCAAGCCAGATCCAGTCACTGAGACAAAAGCTGGTTTAGTCACAAAACCCGTGATGATACCAAAGGTAGAGACATATTACCTTTTTACCTTTCATTTCATATATGATATTTAGTTCTTTTGCATCAATGCTGAATATATATGCCTGTAAATGGGGAAAGAATTAGAAAAGTTTAGACTGCCATCATATTTTTCTAAACTTATTTCTGTTGGATCAAAACGTCAATTTTTAAACTTGTAATTGCTCAAATATTAAAAAAAAGTAAGATATACAAAAGGCTTTGGGATCCACTGTTACACTAATATGTCTTACTTGAAAAAATATCTGCTTAGGAATTATCTTATTGATCCCATAGAGAAGGCACAGAAATTGTTCTCTTCACTTTTCAAAAAGAAAGGCTTAGGAAAATGTTCTAGTGTGACCAACGTTCACAGAGCAATGTAGCAAAATCTAGCACCAGAAATAGCATTTCCTTCTTTCCAGTCTCACCACAAAACAAGTAGTTGCCTAAATTTCCTTTCAGCTGTAAATCTGTTATTCAATAAATGTATTTCTTGGTATTTTACAATTTACTTACAGGAAGAAAAGTCTCATTTGAGTTCTGTAATGCCCCTGAAAGCTTTCTTGCTAAACTTCTTTTAAAACCATAAATCTTTTGCCAGTTCTTCTAAATGTAATACTCGTACATTGTTCATCATTCTAATCTTCCATTCCTTCACACTTTTGCAGGTTCTCCTTTAATAGCTTATTCATGCATATACTTGTACCTTTGTGAAGAAATAAATACAAAATTGTACGTCTTACTTTACCAATCTGTTCATGTTGAGGAGCTCCTCCAACGACTTCGGTTGAATGCTGACTCCGAAAGTGACCAGCTCCAACGGAATAGCCTTCAAGAAAAGGGAGACTGAGAATCCTTTTTTGCAATGGGTAAAAGGTATCATAAGTCTACTCAAAGTTAAATGAGACTGAATTCAAAATGACTGCGTTAAGTGGAGTTTTAAGAATATTCAGCTTTGCAGTACTCAAAATTGATCATATATATATTTGATGAATATGTCATAAAACTGTAGTCATATAGTTTACATCCTCAGGTCCTACAAACTGAAAATAGCATCTTTACACCTGGTTTGTTAGTCCGTGTATAGTATCAGTAATCAGCTTCTATAACTACAACAGAAATATTTTAGAGTATATAAAATATAACATTTTAAACTTTAAATAAAAATCATTCTAAAGCTCAACTTTTTGCCAGAAAATTTTTCTATTGTAATGACTTATAATGCCACAAAAGGTAAAACATTTTTATTTTATGTGATAAAGGGCATATTAAGTTATATTTCTTATAATGCTTCAAGATATCCTTCAATCATAAGCAAGAAAACTTTGAATTATAAATGAATTCTTTCTGTTTGAAGATTAATTTCTTCTGCTTGAATGGAAAAAAAATACTGCTTGTTTTAAAATTATTTCTGAGCATAAGACACCCACATCTGAAGCACATACAATTTAAACAAACATGAATTTTCTAAGAAGTTACAGGGAGAACGCTTATTTTCCTGTAATGGGAATTAATGCCAGAACATTTTGTATTTCTGTTGAAATACAGATGATAAAGTGTCCTACTACAGATTGATGAAATGATAATGATAAGGAGGATAAAAATAGTGAAGTTCTGGGAAACATTCTAGGAACTTAGGAGGTGAAGGTCAATGGCTATTTTTAGACCCATATGCGTCATGATGTTACCCCTCATCCAGTATGCTGTCGACAGTCATGTTGGCTTTCAGTTGGTCCTCTAAGAAACTATACTTCCTTATTCACATGTTTAAATGAGTCAATTCATGTAAAGCTCCTATAAAAAGTTTTTAGGATATGGTAAGCCCTCAATAGAGGCTGTCTATATAATAAGTTGATTGCATATAGTTATGAGCTCCTAAATGTTTTTCCTAAAGTGAATTACAAAGAGTAAACTAGAAATTCGAAAAATTACATATTGCTGGGCATGGTGGCTCATGCTTGTAATCCCAGCACATTGGGAGGCTGAGGCGGAAAGATTGCTTGAGCCCAGGAATTTGAGACCAGCTTGGGCAACATAGCGAGATCTTGCCTCTACAAGGAAGAAAAAAATTAGCCAAACGCGGTAGTGTGGGTTGTATCTGTAGTTCCAGCTACTCAGGTGGCTGAGGTGAAAGAACTGTTTGGTTCCAAAGGTCAAGGTTGTGGTGAGCCATGATCATGCCACTGCACTCCAGCTGAGGCAACAGAGTGAGACCCTGACTCAAAAAACAAACAAAAAAAGAATCCTCTGTTGATGATTGTAATTACATATGTAAATGTAAAATAATAAGCTAACTAAAGTTTCCAAAATTCTATACTTAAGAGACAGTTTCTGAACTGTCACTTTAACTACTACTGGCCATTTAGGTGTTTAACAAACATAATTTTCCTTGTTTAAAATTATAGTGCTAGTATCTATAAGGCAGAGATCACTTGATTTGTCTAGTACCTAAATAACTTCCAAATTTTACTTGATTGTGTTTGTCTAAAAAAGCCTTATATTTATTTGTAGTTATATTGTAGACAAAAAGAGAGCCAGTCCAATATGATGACCCTGGGGCGCCCATCACAATCAAATCCTGTAAGGAAAAAAAACACAATTTATCATCATCATTTAAAGGTAAATCTCACCACTCCAAACCTCCTCCAGATACACAACACTTTAAACAGTGAAGATAATATATATTTTATAATAAATTTCTGAATTATGGACATTTTATGCAGTTAAAATAAGTCAGAAGCAAAACCAGAGAAACTAGTTAGAGCATTTCCACTTCAAAATAGAATTTCAGGGAATAAAATTTTAATTTCATTTAACATTTATCAAGGTATTTTAACAGTTGAAGGTAGACTCATGGAACACTATAAGCGTTTGAGAGAGAGACAATGTGGTTTCTAGTAAAGAAAATGACATTCAAGTAACTCATTAGTGTTCATTACAGAGATAATGTGTTGCCAAAGAGTCAAATTATTTCAAGTTGCAAAAAATTCTGATAGTTTTCCTATCATTGTTAACTTGAGGAAAAAAAGTCCAGTGGAATTGTGTGGTATATTTAATTATAAATAGGAATTTGGGAAAAGAAAACACAATTAAGATTGGAATTAACATGCCTTTGTCTGGTATAGTAAGCAAACTTTCAGCAATCAAACCTATTTAGCATATTTCTATATTTCCTAAACATTTTAAATATAAACTGAATAAAGAATCCTTTTAAATATTTTTTATGTAATACTTAATATTTATAGAAATTGTCAGTCCCAAATGTGATGCACCCTTGTCTCCACAGAGTCAGAAAACATTCATAAATTCATAGAGGGTTTTTAAGAGAAACTGGGAGATTTAGGGGTGAATACAAATGTGACCTGTAACCTAGAGTATTATAGACTAATAGACTTTGGGAATACTGTATGTCTGATTTAAGAGATTATTATTAAGTTCTTATATTTCCCAGTTATCATAATTTTAATGAAAAATATGAACTCTTTGCCCCCCTACTAGAAATTAAAAATGACATACTTGGATTGATATTTTCAATACCCGAGTTAGCAAAACAATTAACTATAGTAGCTACTTTTGATTCTCATTAAATTCTTCATGAAAGCAATATTCATTAGTATGGATTTTAGTTGCTCTTGTGTAGTACAGCCATCCAAACAGTAATATTTTCTCAAAATATATGTGGACTGTTGAATGGCGAAAATTAAGTTGTAATACCCACAAATTTAACAGGCATTATGCAGATGCTACACAGTGTTTACTTTAAAGCATAACATTAGTCTTCTAAACCTTCAGGAGAATTAAAGTTCTGTATGTAAACATTCATAGTAGCTATTTTTTGAACTAGTACCTTTGTGTAAAAACTAGATATTCCAGCTTGACATGATGCAAAATTTTCTCCAAATTTTCTCACATAATCTAAAATGAAATATAAAAACAATGCATAATTTTGTTTTAAAATAAAGACAATTTTTTGTCTATGGCCATACCACCCTGAACATGATGCTTTTCTGATTTCAGAAGCCAAGCAGAATGGGGCCTGGTTAGTACTTCGATGGGAGACCTCCTGGGAAAACCTGGTGTTATAGGTTATTGGAGTTCTACTTCCTCTCTCCATCTTTGGCCAGGCATAGTTGCTCATGCCTATAATCCTGGCACTTTGGAAGCCAAGGCAAGAGGATTGCTTAACCTCAGAAGTTTGAAATCAACCTGGGCAGTATAGCGAGACCTCATCTCTACTAAAATAAAAAAAATTAGCCAGGCATGATGGTGCATGCCTGTAGTCCCAGCTATTTGGGAGGCTGAGGCAGAAAGATTGCCTGAGCCCAGAAGGTCAAGGCTGTGGTGAGTTGTGATCGTGCCACTACACTCTAGTCTGGCCAACAGTGTGAGAACCCCCCAACTCAAAAAAAAAATTTTTTTAAAAAAGACAATTTTCATAATTTACTTTTCTTATAAAACCTTGCAAATATATCTTTTAAGGTCTATCACTCTTATTTTTTAAAAAATAGTAACTTTGATACAATTTAAGATAACAAATCTTTTCCATATTAATCTTCAAAATAGTCCTACAAAATGGCAATGAAAATATCTCCTTCTGCCTCCTCTTCATAGGAAGAACACATAGCATATACTCAAAAAAATTGTCAAATGAATACATAAGAGGTAGGATTTGTGACTTTGAGTTTATGAATTTTTTTCAAATTGTATATATTTAAGATGTAGAATATCACATTTGATATACATACACATGCACAGTGAAATGGTTACTACAGCTCAGCAAGTTAACAGACCCATCTCCTCAAAGTGACCTTTATGTAGTAAGAGCATCTGAAATCAATCTCTCTCTCACCAAATTGCAGATACACAATACAATATTATTAACTATAGTCCTCATACTGCACATTAGTTCTCCAGACTTATTCATCGTACATAACTGCAACCTTTTATCCTTTGACCAGTATCTCCCTATTCCCTACCCAACTCCTGTCCCATTAATCACCTTACTACTTATGTATTTGACTTTTTTAGATTCCTCATATAAGTGAGATCAGACACTATTTGTCTTTCTGTGCCTGCCTATTTAAAATAACATCCTCCAGATTCATCCATGTTGTCACAAATGATTTTCTTTTTTAGAGTTGAATAATATTCCATTGCATATGTATATATGTGTGTGTGTGTATTCAAACTCCACCCCCCCACACACACAATTCTTTATCCATTAATTCATCTGTCAATAGAAACAAATTGTTTCTATGTCTTGGCTATTGTGAATGATGCTGCAATGTACATGGGAGTGCAGATATCTTTATGGAGTATGATTTCATTTTCTTTGGGGATGAACCTAGAAGAAGGAATTCTGGGCCAATAGTAATCCAATTTTTAATTTTTTGAGAACTTTCCATACTGTTTTCCATAATCCCTATACCAATTTACATTCCTACCAAAAGTATGCAAAGGTTCCAGCATCTCCACGTCCTCATCAACACTTATTTTTTTATTATAACCATTTCAACAAATGCAAAGTGATATTTCATTGTAATTTATGAACTGCATTTCCTTGGTGATTAGTGAGGTTGAATACCTTTTCATACACTTATTGACCATTTTGATGCCTTCTTTGGAAAGAAAGCTATTGTAGTCCTTTGCCTTTTTTTAATGAGGCTATTTTTTTTTTTTTGGCTGTAAGTTAGTGAGGTCCTTATCTATTTTAGATATTAATCCTTTATCAGCTGTATGGTTGGCAAATATTTTCTTTCATAGGTTGCCTCTTTACTCTGTTGATAGTTTCCTTTGTTGTGCGTAAGTTTTTTCATTCCTTGCTGTCCCACTTGTCTATTTTTGTTTTTGCTACCTGAGCTTTTGGCATAATATCCCCAAATTCATGCCCAGACCATTGCCAAGGAGCTTTTCCCCTGTGTTTTATTCTAGAGTTTTGTGGTTTCAGGTCTTACATTTAACTCTTTAATCCATTTTGACTTAATTTTTGTGTATTGGTTATGGGTCCAATTCCATTCTTCTGCATGTGGATATTCAATTTTTCCAGTGCCATTTCTGAAGAGAGTATCTTTTCCTACATTTTGCCCAGCTAAAAATACAGACTGAATCAAGATCCACATAAAGATGGACAGTCTTATTAAAAAGCCCCATGAATAAATGCTTTTGGAACTTACTGAGGGGACAAAGCTTTGCTTCTTCTGAAAAACTGACATAAGTAAACATCTGTGGAAATAAGAACCAAGACCACATCTTTCTTTTGGACGTTGCTAGTCAAAAATCTTAAATAAATTGCTAAGTCATTTATAATCGCCATTTCCTGTCATGAGTTTTCACTCTTTTTTATATTTTAACTGATCCTATATTTTACAATTATAGGTGTGTTAGGTTTATGCCATCTTGGATTTTTTGTGGAATGTGGCTAAGTATATCTGAGCAAAAATAAAAACTCTACTGCAAAATGTTTTAAAGTATAGACCATAAACTAATTTTTTAAAAAGGATTATAAACAGTCAGAAACCTAGACTAAGTTTTACTGTAACTGAAAATTTCATATTCACCTTTTATCTTTTTGGCATCCGAAAGTAAAATAGGAATATATATCAGAATCTCCATGATATCAACTTCCAGGGAGGAAAGACCCCCATATTATTAGAATAGATAACTGAATTCAAATACTTGGCCAAAGTTTTGCCAGTTAATAAAAATTTTGTTTGGTTGCTGGGGTTTTTTTTTTCTTATGGGATAGGGATGGTTAGAAAAGTTAGAAATTGGTATTCATAAATGTTTCTTAGTTTTATAAGACACATTTTTATAATTTTAGTTTTGTCATGGGTATCATTTTAAATGCTCTGTTGACAGTTACCCCAACTTTGCTCACTTCAGTGTTTCTGCACAAGCTGATGCTACTTTACAACACAGAATATCCTTGGGAAAGATCTTTCAAATTCAAAACCAATCTCTTACTCTTTCAGAAATAAAAGTAAATCAGAAAAAGAGAGAGAAAGAAAAAGAAAGATTTGCTTACACTTATACTTTTTTCCCCCAATTATTCCTGAAAGCTAAAAGTAAAGCAAGAAACCTAAATAGTCTTTTTCTTTTTAATCAGACTTTCCAATATAGTTTCATGGTTTTAAGTGTCCTATATTAGGACTCACTTATACCAAATTGAAAGTACATTTAATGCAAAAGTGGGTAATTACCAACTCAATTCTAGAATCATCCAAATAAAACTGGAGAATTTCTATAGCACAAAAAATTTATGAAAATTAATGCTACTGCAATTGGGTAAAGAAAGGAAGAAATACTTTGAGTACTTAGAATATAACTACTTTGAAGATCTCCCTCTCCCTCTCTGAATATCTAAACTTGAAGATAAAATTAAAAAACTAAATAACATTCACTTATTTCTCTTGATCTAGTTAATATGAAGACCATGCTTACCTTGATAACATGGAGCTATTCTTTTACTCAGTTCTGTTCGTAAGTCAGAGGGCATTCCATAGCAAACACCAGTTGGGAGCTTATTTTCCTTCTTTATGTAAAATATATTTTTCCATCTATGCCCACACGTCTGAATAAAATAAAAGTAGACCAAATGATGTGAAAATGGCACACAGGATATCTGACTTCATGACTGAGCAGTGGACCAATCCCAATACCTACCACAATGGATCCATTTTCTCCTGGCTGTCTGGAAAGTGTGACCCCCAACCATTGATTGTCTCTCTCTTCCAAACAAGTCTTTCCACAAGGTTCTCCATTAGGGCTACCTACAACATTTGAAAATGATTATACGTTATCTTGAAAATAACATTATTCCATGAGAGCAGAGAACATAAGCATGTGTGCTCATCTCCAAATGCCTTCCTTAACCACTTTTCTATCATCTTCTATTTAATTCACAATGTGGGGGGAAATGTGGGTTCCTCTGTGAAAATGTAATTATTCTCTCATACAAGGTGATGTTTGTTTGTAGAATTGACATTTGACTTGTATCACCAACAAGTCAGAGACTCAGTGACACAGAAGACTGCAAACTAACATGACTGGGAGTGGGGAAGACCAGTCAAAACCAACACAGGCTTTGCAAATACAACAGCAGTGTCTAATGCTTGGAAGAGCAGTTGCTATTTATCTAGCAACATAAGCAACATTATCAAAGCACTTTAAAAAGGTTTCTTGTACCAAGACACTAAGAATAGAAAGACTACAATATGATCCTCAATAATTAAGGCACAGTTTATTGGGGCTGGAAGGTGATGATTGAACATGCAGAAAGTGGAACATAGAATTAGCACACTATTCATGCATGGCATGTGCAACAAACTGCCCTATGTTTTACAGTTAGTGGAATGTGACTTACATTTTCATCAAAGATAAAATGATTTGAAAAACCAGATTATTTCAGTAGTAACAATAGGTTCTTTGGCAACTGCATAAGTAGCCAGTGAGTAAAACATAAATAAAATATTCATATACAATATAGTAATTCTAAACTGTACAATGAAAAATGATCTTCTCGGTGATAATTGTGGATTCCTTTAATAGCATGAATTCTTTGCTTTATAGCTGGAATCCTATTAAAATCCTATATTAAAGTGATTTCAAATAAGTTATTTTGGGGGATAATAGAATTCAGTACCATAAGATTCTTTTCACTGTCTTTATTTTCACCTTCTTTGGCATTTGACAACTCTATTTCATCTGTGCTTCACTCCAATAGCAGATAAATACAGTAGCATCAATTTGATTGAATAAGGATGTAGAACTTGGACTTATATACTTACTCATCACTATGTGCTGGGTTTTCATATGTTTATGGTTACCATTCTCTATGTCATTAGGCACTCTGTCTCTTCCTATAGCCTTGACCCCTAAATACAGCTTCCTGGGCAAATTCAGAATGCCTACATAGAAAAGGCTACTATTTCAAAAGTGAAATTATTGGCACTAAATCTCCTAGGTAAGGGAGATTTTGTTTAAGGAGTGTGGGAAGATGTTTGTGTATACATTTGTGTGCCCTCCAAAATGTCATTCAGGAAAAACAAAACATTTAATTACTGAAGAAAATTTTCTAGCCCCTCCCCTGGGGATTCTGATTCCATAGGTCCAAGTGAGGCCCTGACCACACTAGGTGGTTCTTATGATCAAGAACACTGTTACAATGGAATGGGATAATGCTTTTCTGGCCAGTCTTCATACAGAATAATGACAACTCCTACTAATTGGTAATGGCTTCTTAGAGGGCTACACTGAAAGGAGAATTAAGTACTGGCACAGAAAAACAAACAAAAAATGCGAGGGTTGACTAGCAAGGTCTACTAGTAGAAGGAGAAGGAAGTCCTGCTGCAGCCCAAACCTTGATAAAAGATAAGAAAGGAAGGGATACTTGAGAGGGAAATAGAAGGGAGAAACACAAAAAAGGAGGGAGAAAAAAAAACCTAATTGTACTGTATGTGTGAGGTGGGTATGGCCTAACAAAGGGAGCTGTTATTGTGGCTACATGAGACCAAACAAACATTAAATTGAAATAGAATGATAAATGATACATTTTAATTTTCATTGTAATGCAATTTTCAGTTTGACTTTTTACTAAGATCAATTTTTATCAATGTCAAAAATAGATGATAAAGGGTAGATTTGGTCTACCTGAAGTTGACATTTGTTATTAATAAACACGTCAATGAAGTACCTTCTGAAAATACTAATTTTTTTCTCAAATCATAGTCAATACTCAGTTAACTAAGACAACTGAGCAGGAGGAAAACTGAGGACGGGTGAGAATGGAGGTCACAAATAACATTATCTCTGTTAAAATATGATATATTTAGTGGGTACTTTCATTATGATTACACCCAATATTTAGAGACTAATTTACAACTCAAGAGGTAGTAACCACCCAGTAGTTTAAAAAATAAAAAGCAGACAGTAGTTCAGAGTCACAAAATACCATGTCATTTGCTTGATGAAAATGGCCAAAAAGTTCCTACATGCAAAAACAGTATATTGTTATTGTCTGTGTTTTTTTTTAGCTGAGCTCTCTGTTTTGTAAATTTTTACACGAAGACTAGAGACACTTTTGCGTTATGAAGCTGCTTTCTGTTTAATACTCCATGCAACCTCCTTCTTGTTTTAGTTTTAGCTTCATCAGGTGACATCACAATGTCCTCAGTGCCCAGCCTCACGCTTAGTTTCACACACACCACAAACTACATCCTTTTCCACTTTACTGTCATCACTTCCCTCAAACATCTTTCTCTCTTGAGTAGCTCTGGGAGAAGAGCCACTAAATCATTCAGCTATTTTAGGATGAGTCCCTGTGGTCTCGCCAAAGTCCTGGGATTTTATATCTAGTGTGGCTCATGCCCTTTCATTTCTTCTTAGGAAAAGGAGAACAAATCAATCTCCAGAAGCCACAAGAAAGATATTTACCCAAGAATAAATGTAGTAAAAGCTTTCCCAGGAATCCAGTGGTATGGCAGATTCACCCATGAATGGAAGAGATTCCAAATAGAAACACACATGGCAGGTGTGTAAATTTATGGTGGGTGGTTGGGGGGAGGGGGGTTTAAAATGCCACTAGACATAATCCCACATCTGTTTGTTACTGTGTGGCTTAAAATAATTGACTCCTAGTATACAGATATAATTTCTGATTCATGGTAATTCACTTCCAAATATATACTATGTAGTTAGTTAATTGACACCTAGGTAACTGAGACATGTGTCTCAGCATCAGAAACTAGGGCCCTTAGAGACACAGAATGTGATCACTCAGAGGAAATTATGGTGAAATTTATTAATATTCTGTAGAAAGAAGGATTTTCATTTTTGTTAGGGTTACCTACATTTATTTATCTATTTATAACTCTTCTGGCCTACTTTCAGGGTTTAGTAAATAGTGACCTCATTCATTTGGCCAGCACTGTCATCATCCCACAACTGACACACAACCCAGAAATGTGTGCTGAAAATGGAAAGGTTAATAAAGAAAAAAGTAATTTAAAGCTTCAACTATGGTTTAACTATCTTCTATTTGTATCATGTATCTTAATTCATGTGTGTATAAAAGAATGAATGTACAACCAAAAAGAAAATTTACAAAAATAAAGTCATGAAACAATCATTCTTCCACAAAAGAAAGACTATTTCTAATAAGTGAGCAAACACATATACTCACATTTAGATATATTTCTCCTTTTCATGTCTAACACGGCTTCCACCCTAGAGGCATGCCTAATAGCAACAAAGCTGAAGTACTTTCCAGTACTGGTTACAGGCTAGAATCAGTTCAGAGAACATCCTGGAAGTCCCCACTAGTGTTCTGGGTCTTTTCTTAATGTCTGGAAACTTTCCTTCCTTTTCTTTTGTAGCACCTGCAGGGTCTTGGCAGGAAAGATAAGACCACTTGGGTTCAGGGCCTTCTTCAAAGCTTTCCTCTCTCTTAATCTCATGTGGGTCTTGAGCCCATTCCTTTACTACTTGGCACTCAGCCTTGAACGGACATTAGAATCAACTGAAAGGAATTTGAAACAAACACAACAATTGGGCCTCACTCCCAGCAGCTCAGACCTGATATATCTGGGTGGAGACCCAGACACTAGCATTTTTTTCAAAGCTCCTCAGGTGGTTATAGTGTACCGATGGGCTTGTGAATGAACTGCTTTATAATGTAGATGGTTATATCTTTCCTGTATTTCAAAAAAATGTTTAAAAAATAATAGTAGCCGGGCTTGGTGGCTCAGCCTGTAATCCCGCGCCTTTGGGAGGCTGAGGTGAGTGGATTGCCTGAGCCCGTGGGTTCGAGACCCGCCTGGGCAGCGAGACCTCATCTGTACAATAAATCAAAAAATCAGCTGGCCGTGACAGCTCATGCCTGTAATTCTGGTTACTCGGAAGGCTGAGGCGGAAGGATCGCCGGAGCCCAGCAGGTCAAGGCTGCGGTGGCCGGGAGCCGCCACTGCACTCCAGTCTGGGCGACAGAGTGAGACTCCAACTCAAAATAATAATAATAATAATAGTAATATATTTTTGCTGCCCTTCATTTCAGCTACACATTGAAATAGAAAATCAAATGTTAGGCACAATTTCTTAATGTAGAAATACAGTATTTCTAATTTAGTCAAAAATGATTATAACTGTCACAAGAAAGCTAATTCTCATGAATTTCCTTGACATAACACTATAAACTCAGACTATCTTGATATTTTATCCAAATGTCATGTTAAAGTGATTTATAATCTGGTTTTCAATTCACCTCATACATTACTAATCTAAACACTTAGTAAATCAAATCAGCTCCATAATTGAAAAAGTACTTTACATGGTTTAACATAAAAGAGGTCAGCAGAAATTAACATGTGATAATTTTCCATGCTTTTATACAACTAGAATGACTAATTCTTAGCACAGTTGAATACATTTTCCCAGTAGATAGTTTTTTTTTAAAGTCAGTGAAAAACTATCCCCCTTACTCTAAAAATTAAGCCCATATTTCTCTCTTTTTTTTAATTTGGGAAAGAAATAATAAAATGTATGCTCACTACTTGTTGTTTTTCTTTCACCTACTGATTCGTATCGTTACACATAAATGTTCACATAAATGTTTTTTTTTCACCTACTGATTCGTGTTGTTACACATAAATGTTCACATAAATGTGAATAAATGGTAATTTTGATAAATAAAATAAGAAAATTGGTACAAAGTCAATTAGGTACACTCTTTATTCCCCTCGCCTTTTCCCCTTTATTCTTTTTTCTTTGTATTTAT